ATATTTTGTAGGCCTGTTTTCTTTGTTGGTTTATTCGATTTCGTTTTTTTATTTCATTCTTGTACGTTAAGAATGGTATTATGATGGTGTTCTGTTAGTTTTTTTTAATATAGCCAATATAAAATCTCTGGGGAAGTGCTATTTTTCTCCTCCTTATAGGCTAGCGTAGTCCCTAAAATTATGGTATTAAAAGCTGTACTATATTTTGGGGGAATATATATATAGCCTATATATTTTTTTCAAACTACATTACCTATAATTCATGTTAGATACATCAGCTCTCGCGCATCAGCCGGGCGAGTGTCGTCTTCTCCGCTCCATCCGCAGCCTTTTTTTTCCTGTCTCGCGCCCATATGACGGAGCTCGAGCTCCCGCCAACGCAATTTAAAAAAAAAAAAAACCGTTAACGGTTTACAGCTACGTTGTCATAGTAGGCCTTTAAAGAAGCCAAATAAAGTTGAAGAAATGGAAAATAATAAAATAGCCTTAATCTTACAAGAACAGACTGAGTTATGATCAAAGGTAGCCTATACTGCAAGACTCTATGTACAAGGAACCATTTTATGTCGTCGTTGGCCTTGAATTTCGCCCAGAATTGTATTCCTTTCGGTCGGTGTTATGTTTGAAAATAAAAAAAGGTAGGCCTACTTTTGAATAATAAGTTTATAACTAAGCCTTTCTATGTAAGTCAGTGAGGTGTGCCAAACTTACACCCTTACAAAAAAAAAATATAGAGTGTTATTGTAGCATGTTGGCTACACTGGTCAATCATACAAAGTAAAACCTTTAAAAATGGCAACTTGTTAATGGACATTTGATGAGCCCCCAGTTACACAAAGCCCAAAACATCAGTCATTTGGACTGAAGTAGAAATTAGATTTAAACAAAATTCATAAATGTGCACTTAACTTTGACAGGCTTCATGTGTGGTGTAGTATAGAGTAACAGGCAATTTCAGCACAGATTCTGTAAATAGTGGGTGTGCTTGCGAGTTTTCTTTTCACAATCTCAGCCTTTTTCTCTCTTTCTCTAGAAGAAATAGGCCTTGCTATGCAGACAAAAACACACAAGCAGTATACGCAGCAGAGCGAGACAGCCTTTCGTAGAAATCTTGCTTTTTTTGTCTTCCTCTCTTTCTCAAACTTTTGTTATCTTCCTCCAGCGCTCTTCTTTTTTCTTGGGTAAAACAAAGGGCGCTGTTTAGAGAGGAGAGTGTCATACAAAGATAAGATAGGCTGTGGTATAAAAGAGTTTGAATAAGGTCATTCGGCAATGAACAAATCCAGCAAGCTTGCTGGGGAACATGAGCAAACTCTGTTTTATATGCCGTTTATGGCTTGCATACTAATTTAAACACATGATAACAACACAAAGTTCATGCTGTCTTTGAGTTTGCTGTACATCCAAAATTATGGCTGATTTGATGCAATCGTTCAACCAATAATTCAAGCAAGAACAATGAACTTGTTACTGACACCTTTTCCCCTTGGCTATTTCACTTTTTGTTTGAAGACAATACAAATTATTTAATGGAAAGAAATGTGTCAGACACAAACAATCCATGTTGTCTGTCAAACTAAATCAGATACGCAGTATAACAACATGCAAAATGATGCCGGTTTTGCCTATAAAATGTATGCAAAACAAAATACCAAGACACCTTGTTCTGTACACAATCAACTGATATGAATTGTGTATAACTTTCCTTTAATTTGGATTGGAATTATGCAACGCTGTGTTTGTAGCCAAGGCTTCTTAACCTGGTGGTCTCGGGTAGGCCTGATGGTTGCCCTAAGGTGTCACGTAGCCACGAAAGAGTGGCATATGTTTCATAAAATCACTTGATATGTGAATCTGCCCAAGCTAGCGATTTCCATGGATCATAACGGATCATTGGGAACAGGGGGAAATCCTATGATATGTTGTATACTGTATAATTTAATGCAGGATTTCATCTCTGAATGGTTCGTGTGCTATGGTGTAGAGTTTCAGGCCGGTTGTGACTAATGCAGTGTTGTCATTACGTCTGGTGTTCGTTGATCTTCGTGCATGTGTCGTGCAAACTTATATATTTGGTTTTCAGTAATGTAGTGAATATTGTTGCAAATCCTGCTGATTTAAATATGCAAACGTGGTAAATTTAGCTGTCTAACTTATATGAGGATGTTGAAATTGCGAGATCTTAGAATGGGTTGAAAATAATAAGATAAAGTATGTCGTTGTTTTCCTGCAAAAGATATTAATGGAATTATGAACAAACATTTTATTAAAGCTGTATAATTTCAAATTTAATTAACATTTAATTATAAATGAAGATATATTTTTGTTCGTCTGGCTATTATTTTTGCATTTATATTTTATTTGGGAAAGAATACTTTGTTCAATATATAAATATGTGTGTGTATATGTGTATGTATGTATGTATGTATATATGAAGAGTTCAGATGCAAAAGCCTCTAAGTGCCATTTGAAATTTTCTTCTAGAATGATCATTTTTATGAAGCTTGTATATTTAAGTTCAGTGATTTCCCTTAAATTGCAATGATAATTACCTATTAATTGTTATTTAAGTGAAATTACTGAACTTAAATATACAAGTTTGATAAAAATCATCATTAAAGAAGAAAATTTCAAATGGCATTTAGAGGCTTTTGCATCTGAACTCTTCATATATATATATATATATATATACACACACACTATTTTTGTGGTTGGACTCATAAAAATTCTGTAAGACAAGTTAATTGTTGAGTGCTACCACTGTAAAAAAATATCGTTGGTTTAACTTAAAAAAGTAAGTAACCTGGTCGCCTTAAAATTTTAAGTTCATTGAAATGGAAAAAGTGAGTTAATACAATGAAGGATAATTAATTAATCATCAGAAACTCAAAATTATATGTTATCTGAACTAAATAAATGATTTAAGTTGATTTGACAAAAGAAAAAATGTTGTGATTACTAATCGTGAAAAGATTTTTGTTGCAGTGGTGTTGAAATTGTCAACTCTTTGGATTGTGCATTATGAGGAAATTGGGGATTTATTATTTTCAGTAAAGAAATACAGAATAATATTTTTATTTCTAGTCAAATCTTTAAAATAGGAAATGCCAGTGGTGATTTATTGTGTCCAAATGTTTGCATCTGATGCTGACTTGTCTTCGGAAGAAGTTTAGAGAGAGAGAGAGAGTGTTGTTCTGCTGGTGACTATGTCTGTCTTTGCTCTTTGTTTGTGCGGCGAGTCTAAAGGCAGCTGCTGGTCTGTTAGCGTCTGCTGGGAGTTCTGGCCCGCTCGTTCACACGCCGCTCAATGGAGGGAGGGGACGGGGCAAACGGGGACACTGCTGTGCGCTCGCTCGCTCGATGGAGGAGATGGCAAGTGTGTTGGTGAAAATGGCAAAAGTGCATGTGTGAGTGCAATTCTTGAGGACAAGAGGGGGAAAATGGAGGTAAATCCTGGTGGGAAAGGAATACGGGCGGCGCCGCTGATTGGCGCATGTAAAATGAATGTGCTCTGGACTTTGCAGTTGCACAAGATAGGAACTTGTTAATTTGGCAAAGTAAGGAGCCAACCCAATGACCGAACCCTACACTCCCCCAGCCCCCCCCCGTCTCTTTCACCCTCCCTCCCTCCCACCCATTCAGCCCTTCAAGCGTGCGCATTGGCTGAGCGATCGGGCACCCGGTGCCAAATAGGTGGGCTCAGCTTCGCGCTGGCACACTCTGAGGCAATGGATAGGAAACGAGCATGGAGAGGAAGAGAGAGATAGAGTTGGAGAGGAAAAAGGGGGAAAAAAGAAGCTTCTATCGGGTTTGCCAGCGGTCGTACGCGCTCTTCCAACATTGATTCGGTTCTCTCGTTTTTTTTTTTGTGTGTGTTTTTTTTTTGCGCTCTCCATTCGCTCCTCTCTACCCCCCTCTCTGTCTATCTCCCATTCTCTGTCTATCTCTCGCTCTCTCTGAGTCGAATGCAGAGCACGCATATCTGAACAAACACCACTTACTGCTTTGCCAAACATTTTTTCTCTTTGTTATTTGCGGTATTTGTGTATTTATTTGTGTATGTTTTTTTTCCCTCTAACAGTGAGTACAATACTTTTTGATTACGAGCAGTTTCGTGTGTCCGCCTTCCTGGGTTCACATGTAATGTTTTATTTTCGTTTTTGGTGACTGGCAAAATCCCCATTTATTTTTTTGTTACCTTTTTTTCTTCCCCCTCTCTGGTTTGTGTATTAAATATTTCTCTCTTGCATTTCTTGATTTCTATCTCGAGAGCTATGCCACTGTTTGGCTCCTCCAAGAATTTTTCTTCTTAACCGACTGGACATTTTTTGTTAATTTTGTGCTGCAACAACAACAACAAAATACATACATATCTACTAATAATCGGGGCATGTAGTGTCGAGTCGAGTGCCAAGAAGACATTTGACTTGTTTTTCCGCTCCATATCGGCCGGCAGAGTTTATGATGAAAGTGCAGAATGGTAACTATTTAATTTTGCTGTTTTGCTGCATGTCTCGTGTGTTTTGTCCGTGGCGTTCTGTGTCCGTGTGGCGGTGTAGTTTGGATCAGGACGTGCGGTCGCAGGGGTTTGGCACAGGCGACAGTGAGCAGCTGTTGCGGACTCTTTACGCCTGTCCCTCAAAAACATCATTGTCTGTTTTGAACTGAGAAAAGGATCTCTTGAAAGCCAACAATGTAGAAATGTAGATTGTGTAGTAAACATTTTCTCAATGGAACGTCTACAGTTTTATTACGTACTTCTTGTTAAATCTAAATCAGCGTTGCAGTGTTTGTATTTATGTGACGCTTATGACGGATGTGTGTGTGTGTGTGTGTTTGTAATCCTCACAAACACGCACGCATACGTTTTCCCGTACCTTCCTTTGGCAGAGCGTCGCTGAGCCAAACCTGCTGTCGTTGGGCTCATGCTCCGCAATACTAACGTCTTCTCCCCTTCCCTCCTGCTTCCCGTCTCTCCCTCCCTCTCTCCGTCCCTCCAGGATGAATTCCATCCCTTCATCGAGGCTCTCCTCCCGCACGTGCGGGCTTTCTCCTACACCTGGTTCAACCTGCAGGCCCGCAAGCGCAAGTACTTCAAAAAGCACGAGAAGCGCATGTCCAAGGACGAGGAGCGCGCCGTCAAAGACGAACTCCTGGGCGAGAAGCCCGAGATCAAGCAGAAGTGGGCGTCGCGGCTGCTGGCCAAATTGCGCAAGGACATCCGGCCGGAGTTTCGCGAGGACTTCGTGCTCACCATCACGGGGAAGAAGCAGCCGTGCTGCGTGCTGTCCAACCCCGACCAGAAGGGCAAGATCCGGCGCATCGACTGCCTGCGGCAAGCCGACAAGGTCTGGCGCCTGGACCTGGTGATGGTGATCCTGTTCAAGGGGAGCCCGCTGGAGAGCACGGACGGAGAGAGGCTGGTCAAGTCCCCGCAGTGCTCCAACCACACCCTGTGCGTGCAGCCGCACCACATCGGGGTGTCCGTCAAGGAGCTGGACCTGTACCTGGCCTACTTCATCCACATGCCAGGTCAGTGGGTTACGCTCTCTTTCTCTGTCCTACAGCTACTGATACTTGAACGTGTTCATTTGAGAGGGGTCAGAACGCAGGGTAAGGTGACACCCACCCATAATCATCATCGCATCCAGCGCACGTATAAACACCAGGGACGAAATTACACTTCCCACGCTCTGGGAGTAGATTTCTACAATTGGACAACTCATTTTAAAAATAAGGCAAATGTATCTATCTCTCTGGTTATGCTCTGTGTGGAAATGCTATTTAAATCTCAGACTGATTCCTGTGCTTTTCAGAGAGACGTTTGTACACTAATAAGAAACAGATAATTATTACTTGGCTTTGTAAAAATACAAATTCGGTGCGCAACTGGAATTATTCATGGAAATTAAATTGGGAACCCTGCTGAAATGGGAATAATTAGTCTAGAATAAATCTGCCATTGCTTGTTTAATTGAATGAATCGTTTTTATAATATTGTGATTTCTTTGTGGTACTTTGTGTTTTCTTGTTAATACAACCGATACACTAAGCGCCTGGCCTTCTCAGTTCTTCGGTGCCATCCGGTTTTCTCATTGGCAGTGTGTTTTACAGCCGGATCATTTTAGTGTGTGTGTGTGTATTCATGGATAAGTTACCAGCACAGTCTCATACACTCATTGCCAAACACTGTTTCTGACACGGCTAACACTCTCTCTGACGCACACAAGATCGGCCAAACGGCTCCGTAATGCTGTGATTACAAAGATGAAATTGCTTTTTCGTCGCCTTTCTTTTTTGATAACTCATTTTAATGTTTAATTTTATTACAAGATTGTTTTCAGTTAAAAACATTCCAACAAAATATTAGCAGCAGAATTTAAAGCTTTAAAGGCTCTGGTTTACTCTGTGCCCAGTAGGGCTGGCCATCGCGCTGCCCGTTCAGAATATTTTGTGCTGTACTGCGGTCTTATCTTATCAGGCTAATTCCAGTGTGCGCTGCCGCTTTTATCAGGCTCCAAATAGCCCCGGCGGAGACTGGCACCCCGCAGGGCAGCCGTGCAGAATCCCGGGGCCCGTTGCGTCCCGTGCCAGAGCTCAGGGGGCCTTTCTCGAGATGCACACGGCCTCCATGCGTTGCTCTGGTTGAGGGCATTTTATCGTTCTCAAATTAATTTTATTCTTGTGCATTCAATACTAAAAGCACAATTTGAAACCTAATTCGAAATGGCCTGAAGGTTGAAATCAGGTATTTGTTGTGCGTGCCAAAAGAAAACCTGCATTCTTTGGTTCAGCTGTGTATTTAATTCGTTTTGTGTCGCTTTGTTTTTATTTTGTCCTTGTGATTGTTTATGCTCTTGTCTAACTCTTTGTTTATCATTATTAAATGTGGCCTTCATTGTCACACACTCAAATCGAGGATTCCTCTTTTGTGTCCACAAGAAAGCAAGGAGAGAAGGGACAGCTTCGGGAGTCGCTACAGTGATTGCTCTAGTTGGCACTATTGCAATGCCTTTGGTGCGGGAGGATGCGTGTGTGTGTGCATGAGTGTGTATGACACTTTTTTCCATCTCTCTTGCCATTTTAAAATCGTTCACTTAAGTTTTTGTTCAATACTTCACTAACCTAAAACATTTTTTGTTCAATACTTCACTAACCTAAAACATTCCCCTTGTTATTATAAGTATGCTATAATAACAAGGGGAAAAAAACGTATGCACCGTATGTTAACTTGCTAGTGAGACTTGATCCCAGGCCCAAATCTTAAACCGCTAGCAGGTTTTTGGGATCTGACTGGAAAATGTTCCACACTTCACTAAATTTAGGCTTATTTCTGTGCGAAATGAATAGTTTATTTAAGACCCAAAGTAATAGTCCAGGTGTATTGGAGGTAAATGTGTTTTAAATGTGTTTCCATTAAGATTGGTGATTATGGGGAAAGTCATCCTAACGGAGGGAAGTGGCTTTTGGCTGAAGAGAATATATTAATTTTATATGCAGGGCTGTATTGTTAGTGCTGCTAATATATCATTATTACGAGAATATCATTTAAAGTGTTCCCTGCTTCAGCACTCCGCACAGGAAATTTGATATTTAACCATTAAAGAGGTGTGAATAATGTGCTTTATGCCATTTCATGTGTTTAACTGCTGCTCTTTAAATGTCTATTAAATTTAAGAATATGAAAATCTGTGTTTGCTAGACTAGAGCATTTATTGTTTTCAACGACATATTGGACACTCTGGTTGTTTTAACCCAACTTTGGGTCAAAAATATAATGAAAAAAATTAACCCAATGGCTGGGTTTGTCCATATTTGACCCAAAGTTGGGGTTAAAACAACCCAGCAATTTTTAGAGTGTATTGTTTCAATACACATTCTTGTTTTCTGCAAATAATACTTTTTTCTTAGTAATAATGACTATTTCCCAATTGTGTTTCACAATGAAATCCGATTCGAAGGCGCTTTCTGATGCGAACACATGCGTAAGAGCCTGCAGTGGTGATTTCTCTCTGTCTGGATGTGGCATTGTGGGAGTGTTTTGTTTGGAAATGAAATGTTTGGAATAGCTGTTAAACAGATTATTTCAGCAGTCGTCATTCACTTCGAGCCAGTGTACATAACGCGTCTCTCTTTCTTTCATCACTCATTCTGCTTCCAAGTGTCTTTCTTTGTCTCTGTCAATCTTCCTGGCTCCTTCTGATAGTCCGATAGACTGTTGAAATGAAAGGAAAATCCACCTCCTTGGGTCATAGGTCAGATTGCAGTGGTCAGAGAGAATCTTCAAACGTCATACATTTTCCGTTATCCTACATTTCTCCTATATTTAGGACTGTACTCGGCTCTGACTCACCTTGGCTTCTGTGTGTTTGTTTAAATATGCCACCGCAGTGCTATTAAGCTTCTGAGATGTCTTGACTATTTTTGTGATTTTTAAGTCTTCATGCTCGATTCATTCCAGTGGATTTGTTCAAGAGAGACGTGAAGTATAACTTTCTCAGCTCCTCACACACCGGAGACATTTATGGGCTTTTTAAGAGCACAAAGGAAGGATTGTAAAAGTGAAACACATTAACAAACAAACCAGTGTCAGCTCTACTGAATGAGCACCTGCTTTTAAACTCGACAGGAGGGACGGACAGAGAAAGAAAATTAAAAAAAAAACCTGAAGCTGAAGCTGCGAGTAAAACAAAAAGAGGCAAATGTTTTCTCTTCTCAGTTGCTGGTCTTTCTTTAGTTTTTTTCATTGTATTCGTGTCAAGCATGAAATGTGTCTACAGTTGCTCTAAGCAATATATTTACAAATAATATATCTAGTGATGATATACTAAACAACTGAATATCAATCCTTCCTTATTCTACAAATATGAAGGATCTAGCGATTTTTATATAAGTGTCTCAATTTATTTTTTTGGCACGTTCTGGTCATTTCTTTCAATTTTTTTTAAACTTATTCATGCATTTTTTTATGCATAATGAAAATTATGAAGGTAAATAATACTTTTTAACACTTATTATATATTGCTGCATATAAATACATTTTAAAATTTAAATTTAAGTAGTATTTTTAGAGGAAATGATGTGTCATACAAAATAAAAGTTTGTGTTTACATAATATATGTGGGTGCACTGTGTATAATTATTTTGTGTATATATATATAAATACACACACATGCATGTATATTTAAGAAAAAAATATTATTTATATATAAAATATTTATATATATAAAATAATTATACACAGTGCACCCACATTTATTATTTAAACACAAACTTTTATTTTGGATGCGATTAATCGCTTGACAGTCCTAATATATATATGTACATGTATGTGTGCATATATATATATATATATATATATATATTTTGCTCTGAAAAAACGATATTGAAAATATTTAATTAAAAAAATGTCAGATATGCTGAACGATTTTAAACAAAAACAGTAAAAATGTGTTTACGTGTATCTAGAGAGAGAGAGAGAGAGAGTAATGTGGGCCACTCACAACGACTCTGATTACAAGTCAGAGAACACAATGCCGAGCTCAGTAACAGCACAGGCCTACTCATTACACACACACACAACGCAACGGCCATGGAAAGCTGAGCCATAACTCAGATCTATAGGAGTAGAAGTTCTGCATTAGTGCTGTTAGATTGAATTCTCATGGAGCTCATTAGATAAAACCTCTTTAGAAAGAGGAGAAAGGGATGATCAAGATCGCCGAGGGGCGAGAGAGAGGGAGACGGAGAAAAGGCGAGGGAACGGGGGCAGCCTCGTCTGCCATTTTTTGGCACCCTGTACGGTGAGCTCTATGTAGAAGGTGCCAGAACCTCATCGCTGCCAACCTCTCTCCCTCTGATCCTTTCTTCCTCTCTCTCTCCCTCTCTTTTCACCCATTCTCTGTGTCTCTCTCGGGGGGCTCAACCCCAGCGTCGCCCCCGTCGTCTTGATATGTCCTCCTATTTTCAGCTCAACAGTTACGTCAATTATTTTTTTATACAATTAGATTTTTGGTGTGCATATTTGCATGGACATGTGCGGGGAGGTGGCACTTGTTTGCTTTTTTTTCTTCTTTTTTTTTTCTTGATCGACTTTGTAGGACGTCGAAGACATCTCATTAATAGGAATTATAAGTTTACGACTTCTGGTTCCTAAACGATTCCTTTTTTAGTACTTTTGAAGAAAGCCCTCTTTCATATATATATACAGTATATATATGAAGAGTTCAGATGCAAAAGCCTCTAAATGCCATTTGAAATGTTCTTCTTTAATGATGATTTTTATCAAACTTGTATATTTAAGTTCAGTAATTTCACTTAAATAACAATTAAAAGGTAATTATCGTTGCCATTTAAGTGAAATCACTGAACTTAAATATACAAGCTTGATAAAAATCATCATTCTAGAAGAAAATTTCAAATGGCACTTAGAGGCTTTTGCATCTGAACTCTTCATATATATATATATATTTGTAATTATTGAATAGTTATTAGTTTAAACACTAAACATTATACCAGGTTCAGGTAACTTG